ATATATATATAAAATAAAGAGAATTTAAAGTTGTACAATTGGAAGAATTATTTTTTATAGAATACAATATTATTTCATACAAATGGAGAATCATTTCACTAAACATAAAATCCACATTAGTAATGACAAGAATATTAACACATATTTAATATTTGCATCTCTTTTATATTATTTATTTTTCAAACAAGTATACATTCTTTAATTGCTTTATTGTTATTTTTTCCATCTTATATAGTGTGTAAACTCTTGATTGCAATAAATTCCAAATTATAATACAACTTAAGAATTAATAAAAAATTCTATGCATATCTACCCAATCTTTTCATATCATAAATTTATCTTTCTTCTTAGATGATAGTAGCATCTTTATTGACACATCTATCTAAGAATTTATCCCTAAATGATATCCACTCCGGCGGCTCGACAACCGCCGAAAAGCCACCGGTTTGTTTCCAAACCGCCGGTAAAAACAGGTATACCGCCAGTAAAAATCGCCTGTACTACCTGAATTTCCTGTAGTGTCTTACAATGATATTTTGTGAAAAATATTTAGGGCATTTATGTTCATCAATAGGTTTTATATCTTCTCATTCATGTGAAGTTCCACTAAATTTTAATTCTCATATGTATCATTAAGCCTAACTTTGTTGAAATAGTTTTAACAAATCACCTTAATTTGTACTATGTGCCAACCTACTCTAGTGAAACAATTATTGCTCGTCTTTGTTTATGGAGATTGCTTCCCTATGTAGTTTCATCAATAGATCTGTTCCATTGGCCATTGATGCTTAATATAGTGACTAAGGCTTTGTTTGGAATAACTTTTTTTACTTCTTAAAGCAGAAAGTTGCTTTAAGAAGTAGTAAGAAAGACGTCCCAAACGAAGCCCAAGTTCATTGGTCGTCACATTGGGATATGTAGTATAAGCGGATATTCGAAATAGTTTTTTTTTTAATTCTAATCATTACATCTCAGTACAATAATGTATGTTCTACATTATCAAGTTCCCCCAAAGATGATATTTCCACAATACAAATCTACTCAATTATATTAGTGTTTTTTTTTTTCAACTGTGGAGAATGATATCTTTCGCAAGATTTGATACACGCTAGTGGAATCATTTCAAATATGATATATTTTTTTTATTTTTATGCATAAAATAAATAAAAGCAAAATCATTATTTTTTAAATATTTTTTTTTTTATTCTTTATAACATGTCTACATTTTCTTGATAAAATCGTCCCTTCGACCTACACTTTCATATAATAATATCAATAATATAAAATAATCAGTAAGTCATTATTAACTTCAAATAAACCGTATTTTTATATTGCACATATCATCATCAAGGAATCATCAATACCTTATGATGATCTAATAGAAACATTTTTTTGATGTAGCCCATTTCTTGTCGTCAATATATAATATTTTTTATTGAATCATAGATAAAAATATTCAATTAGGTCAAATTAAATTCTATGGAATATTCTTTAATAGTAGCAATAAAATTTAGAACTATAAGATTCATATGAAGCAAATCCTACAAATGATTCATAAAATGGCTCTTGAAATTTAAGACTTAGAGGATTATTGTATCTCACATATAGAATCAATAGATGATTCAGTGAGATTATCTAAGTATTATAAAGATTTATGGTCTAAGAGAACCAAAGTTGTTATGCCTTTCCATAAAGATGCAAATTATATAAGCATCGTTGGCAAATGGAAGATTTCAAGCTTGTTTTCATCTAGTGAAGGTGGATGGATCAAAAAAATAATATTCCGTAGTTTTTGACATTTTTATACTCTAATGTTATTTAGGCTTCATTTAGGACAGCTTTTGACCGCTGATTTTTCCCTACTTTTAAGAG